TCATTTCCTGTACACGCAGAACATCCTGGTTCCAGATGCCTGGAGGGAGGACAGGTGAATGATGTCCCCAGTCACACTCCCATTCAGATTATCTAACACCCACTTAACACCGGTCACTGGATAGTGTGGATACTCTGGAGAATGGAGGGGCCTGGCTTATGTCCTCATTGAGTTTACCGTCTACTTTAAACACAGCACAATGAGACAAGTGTGAAGATAGAAACACAGGTTGCCCTGGGAAGCAAATGGTAAGACACCTGATTCCCTGGGATTCAGGAGGAACAGAACTGCCTTTTTAGAGTGATCTTCATAGTTTACATCTGACTGACACTTTATAAGCTTATTTGGAATGTAACTCTTACACGTTATATTATTATGCTATTGCTCCATAGTGAATGACCCCAAAATTTAACAGCTGAAGACAAGAAATGTGATTTCACAGTTTTTGAGGCTCAAGAATCTCAGGAACTTACTTGAGTTGTTCTCACTGAGGGTCTGTCAAGAGGCTATATTCAGGGTGTTGTCTAGGACTACCCCCATCTCATGGCTCTCCTGGGGAAGGATCTGCTTCCAAATTCATTTACATGGCTGTTAAAAGACTTCAGGAGATCCACTTCCAGGCTCACATGGGCCTGTCCTCAGGACCGCCTTGTGACATGGCCACTAGCTTCCACCAGCAGGAGGGATCCAAGGGAAAGTGAGAGGGGACACACAGTGGGGAAGCCAGGTCTTTTCAAAATCTAATCTTGGAAGGAACATCTCATTGCTTGTGCTGCATTCTATTCATTAAATAGAACTTTAAATTAATAATCCATTAGACTAATCCATTAAATAGAATAATAATCATTCATGGAAGATTAAATAAATGGCAGTAGAGTTGGAATTTGTTGGTAGTTTTGCTTGGCAGAAGCCCTGTGGCTCATGGGGTAGGTCAAGCACAGGAGAGAATCAAATTCTTTTGAAGACCTCCACTGTTAAACACATATGCTGTCTCACTTTCATTCTTACAACAATATCTTGTGAGTTCAGGGTAGCTTCCCTAGTTAGCAGATGAGGAAGCTCATAGTCAGAGAGATAAAGGGACCCCCTCAAACTCACATGGTTCACACATGTTAGAGTGAGGATACCCACAGAAGTCACTTTGTCTCAAATTCCAGGTATCGTTCGAATTATGGGAAAGACAAAAGTAGGCTTTTGGCTTTTTTAAACCCTGAGTAGGCCAAGGTCGAAAAGCAAAATAAACATAAAAGAGAAGTCCTGTAAATTTTGTGCTGCTGGTTAGAGCGGAACAACAGCTTGGAAAGCATTAGAATGTGTGGAGCCTAGAATTTGGGGGAGCTAAGTCTTTTTGTTACATAATTCAAGTTTTCAATTCCACTAAAATAAAGCTAAGGGCTATTGAATAGCCCTGGCGTATGAAAGAAATAAAGTCCACCTGGTCTTTCTATTACTCTTTGATTTAAGTGTATTGAGAAATACAGGTGTAAAATTAAACAGGATAAACCATTCCATTTCCTTGTTTCTCCAGTTGCGTGATATACAAACAAGTCTACTTCCTTTTTTTCCTCCTACTTCAAACACAGTGGCAGGAGAAGGCTCTTCAAGGGTTAAGAGGGTGTGATGGAGGGGCCAGTGGGCCTACAGGGCTGGGGCCAGTGTTGGGGACTGGTTTCTTGGTTCTTTCAGATTAGTTGTGAGGCTGAGGCTGGCTTGTTGGAGTGATTTTTGCTAAGGTTACAATTTGGAATTTTTGTTTTTGTTTTTTAAAACAAACATCCCATTTTAACATGTGGGTAAAGCCAATCTGTGTGTCCTCACCCCCAACATTCTACATATGTGTGTGCCTAATCTGAGCATAATGCCAAGGAAACACGGAGAACACCTGTTACATATGAATTGATAAGGAAAAGGAGGGGAAATGGTAATTCAGCACTTGGGATTGGTGCTGAATCCTTTAGTCCAGGAATCTGGGAAAGGGAAGTACTATACTGGCATATGTAAACTGAGTTAATCTGCTGCAGTAAGCATTAGCCAGTTTAACAGAGGACTGGTGGTTGGCAAGGTGTGGTTAAATTTGCAAAAGACACAGAGAGAACAAAAAGAATCACCAAGTTGTTGTAGAAAAGGCGGAAAGTGAAAACAAAGAGAGAGCCCCCAAAGTATCTGGGATCATGTCAGCTGGAGAACAAAAAGGCTGTGGTATGTAGGAAATGATTCTGAAGGGGATGTACTCATCTCATTTCCTGTACACGCAGAACATCCTGGTTCCAGATGCCTGGAGGGAGGACAGGTGAATGATGTCCCCAGTCACACTCCCATTCAGATTATCTAACACCCACTTAACACCAGTCACTGGATAGTGTGGATACTCTGGAGAATGGAGGGGCCTGGCTTATGTCCTCATTGAGTTTACCGTCTACTTTAAACACAGCACAATGAGACAAGTGTGAAGATAGAAACACAGGTTGCCCTGGGAAGCAAATGGTAAGACACCTGATTCCCTGGGATTCAGGAGGAACTTCTGGACAAGAGATGGTTAATTTTATGCATTAACTTGGCGAGGCTGTAGCACCCAGTTACTGAATCAAACGCTTATCTAGGTGCTGCTGTGAAGGTATTTTGTGGATGTGGTTAGCTTCTACCATCAGCTGACTTTAAGGAAAGATTACCCTTGAGAATGTAGGTAGGCCTTATATGATCAGTTGAAGGTTTTATGAGCAAAAACTGAGGTTTCCCAGAAAAGAAGAAATTCAAGACTGAAGCATTGAATTTGCCTGAGTTTCTAGTCTGCCAGAACCACCTTGGGGATTTCAGATGGACTTGCCAGCCCTCATGATAGTGTGAGCCAGTTCCTTAAAATAAATCTTTTACACACACACACACACACACACACGCACACTATTGGTTATGTTTCTCTGGAGAACCCTACTAATACAGTGTCTTAGTCATGTCAGGACTTAGGACTGGGGTAGGTGTGTGAGGAAAGATGATAGTATCCCGGAAGACCTGGCATGAAAAAGAGAAACTAGATCAGGAAGCACACATTATATGTGCCCTAGAGATTTTGAAAGGATTTTAAATGCTGGCTGGAGTGAGGGGATCAGGTTCACATTTGAGAAAGGACATCTGATTATATTATTTTTGAGAATCAAGAGAAACGTTTCAATTCCAGCAGGAAGGAATTCCTAATAAGGAAGACATTTTTAATAGGGGAAAGAGATGCTGAATCTGTTCTGGAATCTTAAAAACAAGTTGTCATTTTAAATCACTGAGGGCCACAGTCTTGCAGAAAGTTTCCAACGCTCTTGTCAAAATCAGATCTTCCTGCTCGACCTCACGTCCTCCACGTCTATAGCTTTCACTAGTTTCACATGTTGAACTGCTTTAACTCGGAAGTTCTCCTTGTAACTGGGAAAATATTCCCATCTGGCCCAGGAGCCTTCAGGAAGATAAACTCTCATCCAGTGTGCAGGTGGGAGGGTGGAGGTCAGCGGGGGATTCCGGCTGCGAAAGTAACAAGAAAGAGAGTTTACAAACGCACTGAAGTTCTGCTACATCTCATGTGTGGTGAGAGGGCTCACCCAGTACAGCCTATCCCGTGCACGCTTTCTTCCCCTCCTCTGAGGGTTCGGTTCCCGCACCCTGGTGCCAGCGAGTTCCGCTGCCCCTGCGCGGCGCTCTGCGAGACTGGACGGGATCTGGCATCTGTCAATCCAGTATCTTGATGCGGAGGTGCGCAGGGAACACCGAGTTCAGACTGAGGTCCGAGGTCCTACCCTGCTGCTTTACCGACTAGCCCCCGCTGTCCCCAGCAAAGAGGTCTTGCCCCGAATCTAAAGGATTTTTCTTCAATTCCCTCTGCATCCCTACTTGCCCTCACCTTGCCCGGTGCCTTCCTAATACTTTTTGGTTTGGAACATTCTGCTGATCAGAGCTAGCTGCCCTGGTCAAGCATCCTTGGGGATGGGGTGCGGGTTGCTGGTGACTCAGTGACGCTTCCCCAGGCACAGACTGGAAGAGGCCAGCACCCTAATTACTGCCCCCACTCCAGGGGTCCCAGGGAGCCAATGGGGACACTTCTCTGTACAACCCTGGGGGGCCCAAGGGCAGGCGTTCGGGACCCGTGCCCCAGAGCTCGGTCCCCACTCTGTACCCCGACCTGGAAGGAGATGTGTTGAGGCCCAGTGTGCCAGACAGTGGGAGTGAAGACGCAGGGCGGTGGCGGGGCCAGTGGAGGGCCGAGAGGAGGAGAGGCAGCAGGTGAGACCCAGGGCTGTGCCCCGGGGCAGCGAGGCGGGCTGACGGGGACTTGGGAAGGGAGCACCGGGCTCGGGCGACACCGGCGAGGGTTGGGATAGGAGGGGTGCGGAGAGGCGAGCCCAGGCGGTGAAACAGGGTAGGGAGAGGAGGCAGGGGAGGCAGTTCCGACAGGAGCCTGCGAGCGGGGAGAGCAGCGAGGCTGGAAGGAAGACCCGCGGAGGGCGCACCGAGACCGTGCCGCCTCCACGCCCTCGGGGCACGGAGGGCTTCGCCGGGGGAGACGCACAAAGACATGCGAAGAGAGGCTGAGCCAGGCTCGCGCACAAAGACGCCGGGGCGCACGGCCGATCGGGCTGCACCGACCGCCCCCGCGCCGCGCCCCGCCGGGGCCGGGCCAGCGCCGAGCCTGGGGCGGAGCGCACGGCGGCGGCGGCGGCGGCGGCTGCGGGCCGGCGCGGGACCCGGGGCGCCCGCGCTCTCGGGGTGACCCGGGCCCGGCCGCAGGCGCGCGCGGGGGCGGCGGCGCCCGAGCCCAAGTTGGCCTCGGCCTCGGCCTCGCCCTCTGCCCAGCCCGCCGGTGTCCCCTCCTTCCCGCGATCTCGTTTCTTCTCACGCTCCCCCCCACCCCCTCCCGCGTCCAGCCCCGCTCTCCCCACCTTGTAAAACAAAGCCGGGGAAAATGCCTGCCCGTGCAGCTCGGAGCGCGCAGCCGGTCTCTGAATAAGAAGTGAGTACAATGGCGTGTTTGTAACAGCTTCAAGTCCGTCTTTTTCAAAAGCATTTTGAATGCTGCATGCCCCATGCTTCCCAGCGCTTCGCGGGAGAGACCTGGCTATAGAGCAGGAGGTGAGACCCCCGGGTGACCCCCCCCTCACCCCCCAGCCACCTCCCGCCCCCTGCTTTCCCGCCGCGGTCTGTCCTGGGAGGGCTGCAGATCCCCTGCTGGCGGCCAGCAGACGTTTTCCACCTTCGTTTACCGTCCAAGGTGTTGGGTCAGGATCTGGGGTTGGAGGCAAAGCTGTCCTCGGATCCTCACTTCTGCTGCTTCTCCCCTCTCTCCCGCTGGTGCCCGGGGGTTTTGCATCTGCCCTGGGTAGGGGTTTGGGACAGCTGGGGGGAGTTTCCGAAGGAGGAGGGGGGTCAGTCCTTGGGAGTAGCCGGCAGGCAGGGCGCATGCTGACCCTGGTCCCACTTGTTGCCCGTGGCGTGGTGGGACAGGCAGTGGTGCTGAAAAAGCTCGTTGCTCTTGGTATTGAGTCATCAGCTGCCGCCAGGAGCAGAGAAGACATACCTGGGTGAGGATGGGAGACCAGGATTAAGAGGAGACTGTGATGTGCTGGAGGCAGAGCAGGACGTAGAGGTGGTGCTGAGACTTCGTGGAAGGGGCAAATCTTTGATTCCTTGTTCTAAGCGTCTCTTCCTGATTATACATCAAACGACGTGGAGATGGAAACCCAGAGGTTCCTCATGTTCCACCGAGAAGAAAGGCTGTTGTGTTTTATTTTGGTATTTGACCAATTTCTGTCCATTCTGTCTGCCAAATGTGCCTTAGATACATTTCTGTTAATTAAAACAAATAAGGCACTAGCTTAAAATAATTAAACTTCACCAGAAAATGTATTACCTTAAAACACACACACACACGTTTAAAGAAAAAAAAATCTGTCCCCTGTCCCCAAAAGCATATAATGAAAATGTCTTAGTTTGGCACTGGATTTAGGACTGGGATTTGGGAGCATCAAGGTAAACAGTTCTACAGACTTAGGAGCCACTGACGTGAAAACTCAGAAATCTGAGAGCACAGGAACCTGAAGAGGAAAGGCTTGGAAAGCTTCCTTCAGAGAGAGAATGTGGAGTTTCTGTGTGCTTTTCTGTTATTTTTATTCCAAAAATGGCTTAATTTTAGATTATGACCTTTATTTTGCACTCAGACTCACTAAGCAGCTTGGAGGTGGGGTGCTCTGGCTAGATAGCAGATGACAGTGATTTTAGCTGTTATTAGCATTTCTATTAAAAAAAGTTTTTTTAAATTAAAGCATTACATACATATCAATTTGAGTGAAGATGGCTTTGTAAATATTGCATGTTAAAGGTGGCTGCTAGTTTGTGGCTGTTTTCAGAGCAGGTGTCTGTATCAGTGGGGAAATGTGTACATCCCTGTATATAGCAGGTTGCCCCATAGGAAACTGCTGTGATGAGCTGCACATATGTGAAGTCCCCACTTGGGTACAGTTACCTCATCAGAGCTTCATCTCTGCATCTCTTTAAAGTTGGAACCATTCAGAGCTTTGCTGGTTGAGAACCCTGTGTTATCTGCCATCATTGAACAACATGACTTATGTCTAATGCTTCAAGTAGCTTTGTTTGCAAAGCTTCTTTCTGCTGGGCAGCTGAAGATTTATTTTATGAACTAAAACTCTGCTCATCCTACATTTAACTCACAGTGGTGGTCAAGAGGGGAGGATAACTGGTCATGTGAAAATTGACACTTTTCATTCCCCTCTTCCTCAAGTAATTTCAGGTTCCTGTAGGGTATTTGGCTATGATTCCATAGGGATTTATTCTATACTTAACCAAAAATGTCTTTTAGATTAGGTTATCATTTTATCAGACCCATATTATATACACTAGGTCTGAAACAACTAGGGACCTAAGTTGATTGCTCTGCTTGAGTTAGTGGTTTAAGTCTTCCTATTTTTCGACTATTCCACTAACTCTTTTTAGTTCACTGTTGCCTTTCCAATCAAATATTCAGTAGTAGATGGCTTATTTTCCTCTTAGCAAGTAGAAGTCTGGTGTCAGTTTTTCTGAAAAGAAATCCATTAATGATATTTTTGAACAGCTGGGATGAATAATAAATGGATTTAGAGTCACCTCAGAGTATATGGGAATTTGTAAGAGAGCACGTAAATCTATTCTAATGGGGCAATTAGCTTTGGGCAGAGCATGTAGGGTCTAAGGTGTGAGATAAGGCTCTGCATTTTTTTTCTTGGTGATGTTTGCTGTTGAAATGGAAGAAACCTGTCACGTACTGGCGTATCTAGAATTGTGCCAGAATGGGTAGCAATAGTTTTGTTTTTTAAAGATGTCAGAGATTGAGTAACAAAATATACAGAGTGCTTAATCATGAGCCCAGTTTGGAGGATAAACAAAAATAAATGATCAGGCTATTGAGTGGTTTATTGACCACCATGTTTTAGGAGAAAATCACTAATGTTCTACTTTGAGCAACAATGTTTGTATCACAAATTCACTTATGACACTAGTCTTTTATTATATTGAACTTTTAAATAAAAAGAGAGAATGTTCTTCACAGTGACTGTGGTACAGAATGTTAAGTCCTTGACAACCAGAATAATTTATGAGTGTTCATCATGAGTATTCAAGTATCTAGTCTAGTACAGTTGACTCAGGAGTTCAGTAAGTCTATGTACTTGTGTGGTGGACAGATAGAAATTTAGAAATTAATTAGGAAAACCTCAGGCATTCTTTTATTTTTTTCTTGTTCCACCTCCTTTTCTCCCCTCCCATCAAGAACCCCAATGGCAACACAGAGCTGAGACCCAGCCCCTTTCCCTTGAACCTGTATGTGTGATCCTGGATGCACCCTCGTGGGAGGATTTCTGGTGTAGGTTCCTGAGCTCCCACCAGGACAGCAAACAGAGCTCAGTCAACCTTTGCAGACCCTTTAAAGAAGTCCATCCATTACCACTCTCACCATCTCCATCCTAACCTTCATTCTCTGTTGTCAGTGGCGGCACCTGACTTGCTGGATCCTAAATCTGCTGCTCAGAACTCCAAACCGAGGCTTTCGTTTTCCACAAAACCCACAGTGCTTGCTTCCCGGGTGGAGAGTGACACGGCCATTAATGTTATGAAATGGAAGACGGTCTCCACGATTTTCCTGGTGGTTGTCCTCTACCTGATCATCGGAGCCACTGTATTCAAGGCGTTGGAGCAGCCTCATGAGATTTCACAGAGGACCACCATTGTGATCCAGAAGCAAACATTCATTTCTCAACACTCCTGTGTCAATTCGACGGAGCTGGACGAACTCATCCAGGTAATGGCACAGAGTCGTTGCTCTGTTTCCTTTACGGGGGAAGAGGAAGAGCCTGGAGACAACTCAGCAGCCCAGTGAGGTCCTGATGTGCCTGTGGGGCCCCGGACCCCTTTGTGCCTTAGCATACATTTTCCGCAGTTACTGTGTCTCTTTTCTCCACGTCTGCCCTCTTTTCTTCTCCTTTATTTCTCCCTCCCGCTGCTGTTACTCCTTATCCTCTTCTGCTCCTGCTCTTGTATATTTCTGTGCTGTTGTCTCCGTGATTTCTTTTCCTTTGCCCCGTCTTAGAGCTGCCAGTAAACACCCATGGACACGCGGTTACCTTGCCACAAGCCCTCACTGTTAGATGTTCACTGCAGGGTGAGAAACACTACTGTGCAAAGAGAGGAAAACACAGGCCGAAAAATGCTTTAATCATGGCAGTGGCCATCATAAGGTACAAAAGATGAGTCTGTGGGGTGACCCTCTTAAGATGGGTACCCTACATGGTTAACATATTGCAACTCACTTCTTTAATCGAGCCGAAGTATATAATAACTCTTATAACTGCCATTTTTAAGTGTCTAAGAGGAAGTAATTATTCCTTCTCTAAACCCCAACTAAAAGCAATTTACTACTACGTAGAAAAATGGAGTTTTTGAATGCAAACTCATTTAGTGTTAATTTACTCTGTAATAGCAGAACAGTATTCTAGTGGAAAAACATTTTGTTTTAAAAGTCAATCACAAAATGATTTAAAAGTTTCTGTTAGGCTCCTTGGAGTTGGCTGTATTTTTGTGGCACTTTTTTTTGTGTGTATGTGTGTGAAATAACTCAGTGGTCAAACTAGAATCTTATCAAGAAGAAAGCCATAGAATTTTCTTTCACCAAGAGCTCTGATTGGTTGTTGAAAACATTTTAATTGTGCATATATTCATTTCCCATATTCATTTGTACACGTAATACTTTTCTTATTTGGGGTCAGTCAAATTGGGCTGATAATGATTCATCATCATCTGACCATGTTCTTCCTTAGCTTATGTTTGGTTTTACATCATTTGAGTGAGTTGGAATACTAAAGGAGGGAAGAAATTATTACCAGTTTTAATCCAGTTCCTTATTCTAAGAACTTCATATTCTTTCCTCTCCCATTTCCTCTTGCCACGGATCCCCAAACACTATCTCTGCCCTTCATAGCCCTCTCTATTTATGTAATACACATGCAAGTTCTCATTCACATTCTATGGAACGCTATCAAAACCCTCTGACCCTCTTTGGCTCCTACCACAGAAAGCACTTTTGCATCTCCCTATTTAACTTAAATTTTGAAGACTCCTCAGATATTTAGATATTGAATTCTCTACAATTTTTAGATGATCATGACATTTTCCGTATTCATGGTGAACCTGCCAACTCATATTGCCCCTGCCACCCCATTGCTTCTCCCTATGTAAGGTCACTTCCATTCCACTCTCTCTGTGTCACATAATCCTAAGAGATACTAAAAACCTTTGACAAATATCCCCTGTTCCCCTGGGTTTTAGGAGAAGAGCTCTAGGTTGTGTTTTAAACTCCAGTTGAGTACTTTACTAAAGGTGTCATTTTGAACAAATAACTTTCTTCTCTAAGCCTTAAACGATCTGTTTGGAATGAGGAAAGATTACCAATCAACTAGGGTTGCTGTGAAGAGGAAAGAGATAATCCATGTAAAACATTTAGGTGCTTGACAAGTGTTAGGTTGTTTGCTATTGTAATTATTCTCCCACACTTCATACCCCCATCCCTTTATTGGGTTGAAGCATCTAATTCAGGTAGTTGGCAGTCTTATCACGTGAAGTGAGGTAGTTGGTCTTGGGTAGGAAAAAAATAGTGCCTGGAATCTCAGGACAATGCTGGAGGAGGCCCTGTGTGACCTTGAAGATAGTCCCATTCTTCAGGATGGTTTCAGATTTATTCAGAACTGCAAAAACAACCTGAAGGTCATGGCAGGTGGGGACAATCTGGAAGTGGGGACTGATTGTTTTTGCTATATTGTTTCTGGAATGGGTACAAACAGAGCTTAATAGATGACCTATTTTTTTTCTTCTTTCTGCCCCACACAGACAATCCATTTTAGCTTTATTAATATTTGCTGCTGGTTGATTACTTTTACTTCTTAAAAATCAGGTATTTTTGTGATTATTCGGTATTTTTCAGTATAGAAGTTGTCTATTGTATATTGTCGTATCACTCATCTGTATAACCCTATGGTTTTAATAAATAATTTTTTTCTCTTTGAACATAATTAATTCAGATAAGAGGAGTCTTTATAATGGCATAGCTTCAAGAATCCAGATCAGTGTTTAAATAGAGGAAGGCCAATGAGCCAGCAATCATATATTAGAGTTAAATTTCATTCATACAATTCTCATAAATTTCCAAGTGTTTTTCCCACATTTATTTTGCCATTTAAATATACCTTAAAACGTCATGAGTTGGTATATTAAGCAGTAATATCGCAGTGTTAAGGATGAAGAAGCCAAGACACAGAAGTCCCAGTGACTTATCCCTGGTAGGGTTATCAGGATGAGAGGTCAGGTCTTCAGAATGGTGATATGCCATTCTTCCTAGGAGTCTTTGCTCTTTCAGGACTGAGCTTCTTTCAGTGCTGAGAGGGGAAAACGGTTCAAGTTAGACGTTCAGTCCTATCACTGAAGGAGAAGGAAGTCTGGATTCCTTTTAGGAGGGGTAGGGAAGGATGAGGAAGTGGGCAGTCAGTAAGGCCAATGACGAATACAATTAATCTAATCTGGCTCCAGGCCCCAGGTTATTAATTACACCCCTGGATGGTTTGGGGTAACCTCATTCCAGGCTGTGATTGCATCACGGGGTGGGGGTGGTAAGGGGAGATACAGGGAAATGGGGCATTAAGGTGTGTGAGAGGAACTGCTTCTCCTGTTACATAGTCCCAGCGTGTGAGTTCCCTGTAAGTGCTGTTTTTGACATCAGCCCTGCAAGGTGAGATTGAGGAGGGGGCAGAGATGTCAACATAAAGAGATCTTTTCTGGGCTGAAGCATTTTGAACACTTTGATTTTCAACTTCCATTAGATTTAAGTTAGTGTGATGTCAGTAAAGAAATGTATGGGAACACTCTTAACTTTCAGGAGTTATGAATGCCATTAACAATAGCCAAAATTTAATGAGCACTTACTATGTGGGAGGCCATGTGCTAACCTCTTACATGTATTACTTAATTCTCTTAAACAACCGTATGAGGCCAGTGCCTTATTATCTGTATTTAACTTCTGTGGAAACTGAGGCAGAGGGCGCTGCATTTTCCAGGAGTGCACAATGGTGGCGTGCACTGTTATTGAAACCTAAGGAGACAGATCCAGAGCTTATATTCTTAGCTTCTTTATTCACTGCACTACAAAAATGTAATAAACATTAAGTTTTCTGTAAAGTTCCCTGTTATTCTACGTATTAGAGTGTAATGATTGTCAAATTGTAATCTTCCATAGTGACGTAGATTATAGTGTCTCACCCTCTCTCCATATGCACGGGAGTATACAGCATGGATTTTAATATTCTGGACAACACTTCTTGGTTATCTCCTGTTTAAATGTGGAAAACTAGTAGAAGCATGGTTCCATTAGATATACCTGGTCTGCAGTCTAGTTATTTCCATGTTTGCTAAATCAGTTTTGGGATTAAAAAGGTAGGGTAAAATCTATGATCTATACATTGATAATGAAAATACCTCATTGGGAGATTTGAGTTTTGTTTTCTCATTTGAGCCTCACCCCCTTGTGGAATAGGTAGGGAAGGTATTCTATCTGTTTTTGGGTGAAGAAACTGACACATTTGCACATGGCTGGTGGTGGTCTCAGGAATCTCTGGAGCTTCCTGCTGAGGGGATCATATTCTCTTTGCACTGTTCCTTCTTCGCAATTTGGTTTTTACCTCTTCATTCAATGGTGTTTATTGAGTATGTCCAGATGTTTTAGGTAGAAGGGGCATGGTGTGCTCCAATAACGAAATTACCTGAATGTGAGGGGCAGCAGTATGGCCTATGGTCTCACACCAGAGAGGCAGTCTTTCTCCTAGGCCTGTTCTTCTCCACCTGGAGTAGATGTGCCATTGAGGCCATTTGGTTGTGTACCAGGGCGTACATGGAACCACATGCCTTCCTAGAATGCCAAGGAATTAGACCTAAAAAAGTTGTTGTATATTAGCTCTATAATTATTCAGTCACTCAATACTATTTCTTGAATTCTTACTGTATGCATTGTCCAAGGCTCTGAATACAGTGGAGATTAAAACAGATATAAATTCTTGCCCTTGGTGAGCTTTACATTCTACTGGGGGAAGATAATATGTTAGATAGTGGTAAGTCTCCAGAGAAAAAATAAAACAGTGAAGGGGACTAGGAAATGTCGGATGGTGTTGGTGATTAATTTTATGTAAGGTCCCTGGGGCAATTTCACTCATGAAGTGCCTTTGAAGTAAAAGCAGTGAGGGAACCAGCCAAGTGGCTGGCTGGCTGGGGAATCACACAGGCAGTCGGTCCATCAGCCCTCACCTCCCTGAGGTGAAAGCGTTCCTGGCATGTTGAGGAACAGCCGAGATGCGGGGAGGGAGTGGAAGAGGATGACGTCAGGCAGGTAAGTAGGGCCAAGCCCTGGAGGGCTCTGTAGGTTATAATAAGGACTCTGGCTTCTTGGTGCAGATGAGTGTCCTGCTCAGTCTTCTGTTTCGCCAGGGCCACTTCCAGCTGCCAAGTGGAGCCTAGCCTGCAGGAGGCCATGGGCAGAAACAGGGAGCAGTTACGAGGCGGTCGTGCTAAAAGTGATAAAAGGCGGTGGTGGTGGGGATTGGGACATATGGTCAGATTCTAGATTTATTTTGGAAGGAGAGCTGTGGGACTTTCTGAGGGTCAAGTAACTAAAAGAGAACAGTTTCTGCTTTCCTAAGATGGGGATGGGGAGTATGGGATGACTGGTTTGTGGATGGCATCAAGAGCTTAGGTTTAGACATTGTG